CCCCTCTCCCTCCCTCTCCCTTTCCCCCCTTTGCCTCCTCCTCTCACCACCTTTGGTCAATACTGCACTTCCATGAGGACAAAGGAAGGTCCTTTCCAGAAATTCCAGTCACTCACCCATTTGGCAATCAGAGTTTAAGCAGTCAATCCAATTTGGTCATTGCAACAAAAGCAAACAAAATGAGTTAACCAGATTCACCCTCATGTTGAGCTCAAAAGCACCTCCAGAGCTTCTTCTTTGATGTGGTTCAATAAGGAAGGCAGTGGTTGAGTACTGTGTCTACTGACCAAATCGCCGTGTGTTAAGCTGGCTTGTCCGTTTCTTCAAAGGCGACTCCATAATCACAAGTGACAGCTCATCTTGCGTGACGTATCCATCACGGTCCTGATCGATCGATAGGAATGTATCAATCACCACTTCCAACGAGGCTTCCAACTCAGGCGGCCCAAATGTCCTGGTGTTCTGACTGTGCGGTCAAGGAAAAACTAACTGTGGGGGAAAAGCCCAGAAATGCGCATCATAGTATGATCATACCCTGTAGGCGTTAAAACTTGAAAGCAAAAAGATGTGGAAGCGAGAACGAGGTGCAATTCGGCAACCAACTGGCCTAGCTCAATTGGTACACCCATGGACTGATGAAATACAGACCTGGGTTCAAATTCCGACGTAATCGGATGAGTGAGAATAACTCTGAATTTACGTGGGGCCGGTCAGTTCAAGATAAAATCTCAAGGCCGTCGCCCTTCAGAAGTGAGGTGCAATTATGCAATACCAGGCTATTACCAGCCACATACTATGGATAACGTTCCAGAATTCCCGTTCAGCGAATCCTTGTTTTGTTTTGTTGTCCATTGGAAATCACTGAGTAGCTTTATTGGTGAGTCCCAACGTGGCAACATTAGCAGCCAATGGAATGATTTTAACACCTTCAGACCAGATAAGACTGGGTAAGTGATACGTTAAGAGACAGCATCCACATTTCCTCACTCACACTTGCCAATTCGAGATGGCAGGGCAAACAAAATTTCGCATTCGATTTCAAAGGGAAACTCCCATTAAATTTCCAAATCGGCAAAGCTCGGCCACTTGCTGGTACAAAGATGCCAATCAGACTTCAATGCAAGTCTTCATATGATACAGACTCTGCCCATAACAGGGATGCCTCCCATGTTCCCAAGGATCTGGTCAGCTACTGTACGTCAGCGCGCTGACACGGTGGTCTTTCGTCACCACTACTGCTCTCTTCACTAACGGCATAGCACACCTACATGCACAACTGTGCGCACACACACTTCTCACACTGTTATGGCCTACACACAGTTCCCCCTCCCACGTCAGCTATGGCTGCCTCTTCTTCTTCATTCAGTAGGTCAAACAGCACGATTCCTCTCGTTCACCAATTTCCTCCAGCTTCAGCACTCCAGAATGATGATTCAGCTTCCACACAAGCCTTTTGTTACTTGGCCTTGGGTACTGGTACCGCTCTGGCCTGGCCTGGGTTGTGCCATGCAACCTGGTGGGCGCCCTACCTCTATTGACAGCATACGAATGGCACTAAGGGCTTTGTTATGAGTTTGCGCAGGTGCTGTTCATGAGCTCAAGACTCAACGAGCACAAACTGTCTAATCTCTCTAGAACACCCCCAGGTAAGGTTGCAAGTTAAAATCTCTGCATGCTCAGTCAATGGCAAATGCACAGGTGAGGGTCTGGGATCGATCCCAGCAGGCAAATGAAAGTCGATCCTTTCAGATATGCAGTTCAACAAAAACATCATAGGCAATTTCGGGCTGAGCCCGGTCATTTGTCACGTGTTTGGACTCTGTGCTTGAACAAGATCTAAGGGCGAGATTCCACAGCCGGGCGCTTTGGAAACCGCCTGGGCCATTTTTGGCACTGGTTTCTGGTTGGAAGTGATGGATAAGACACATAGCCTACCCTTAAAAGGGTGCGCTCATGTACACTCAAAAAATACAGAAATCAAAACCCTGCAAATCAACCAGATATAAATGGAACCCGGCTTTACAGACCAGACCTTGACATCAAAGATCTAGAAGTAGACCCAGCAGAATGGGGATGGATGGTACCTAGCGCTTCAGGGAAAGCCAAGAAGCTTACCACAATATATGATTATGAAGTCAAAATAGGCTACAAACTGGGCAATCGCACAAGGGATCCTCTCCCAGTAATCTCAGAAAGGTGGAAAAGAAACTTGGGCGAAAACGCAGGCTGGACGAATAAAATCCCATGGAATCAGTACACAAATATAAGACCGGTAAGGATCAGAAGCCTACAGTGGCTCATTCTGTATTGGGCTGTGAACCAATGTTTGGCCAAAAGGAGAAAACAGCAAGATTCACAACAACAAATGTCCATGTGCAAAGTGTGTAACGACCAAGCTGAGGAATCTCTGGTACATTGCCTAATATCATGCCAACAAGCTCAGGAAGTGTGGAACAAAACAAAAAACCTCTGGCAAAAGCTAACAAACCAAAACCTCCCCAGCAACCCTGTGTACCTGCTAACGGGAGGACGGGAAAGCGAAGAACTAGAGGAAACTACACTATTGATGGCGGACTTATGGAGGAGAGCAACGCTCTGGGCAATATGGAAAGCAAGGTGCAAGGGCACTCTTGAAAGTCAACCGTCATCACTAGAGGAGAAATGGGGGGAAATAAAAAGCATAATACAAACGGAAGTAAGAGCACGCTGGTCCCAAGAGCAAAAGGAACAACAAAAGATAATAACACCTGACAAAAAAGAATTGAGTCTGAGAAAGTTTAAAAAAACATGGCTTTTGGAGAACAGAATCGCAAAAATTGAGGGAGGCACTCTACTTTTCACAAACTGGGACTAACAAGAAGAAGGGCCTTACCTAATGCTTGGCCACCCACTGCTTTTCCTCAACCTCGGACTCGACTAAACAGGCTCCAACACAAGCTACCTTATCCTCAAGGCAATTGTCTCCCATCTTTATCAGCCTATTTTAACACATATCCCCCACTGAAAAGAAGTAGAGGGATGCAGCGACAGATCTCAAGCAAACCTCTTTCGGCGAATCAATGTCCGCACACTAGACGGAAAACCGTGGACCCGAAGAGCCTAGGGATATGAATAGCTAGCACCGAAGGAGGGAAATAAGAAGTGAACCATTGTCCAATGACAGGTGCACCAGGGACAGAATAACTGGACGGGACACATTTCACTCCGGGGCTCCCCACTCAAGTCTCCCTTCTCTGTTCAACTACTCGACGCGTTCCACTAGACTAACATCCCAAATGAGTCTCGGTAGACAGAAGGGAACAACGCTCTACTCAACAGAAAAGCGTCTCGGCGGAACAGATGGAAGGAGAAAGGCAGCAGAACAGCTGAAGGAGGGCTCTAACACAAGAGAGAAGGAGCAGACAGAAACCAGAACGGCGGATCAGGAGGAGACCCTATGCAGACGGGGGAACTCCAAACAAATCAGGACAGAGGGGGAAGAACAACAGCGAGAATAAGATAAGGATGGCTACTAGCGTCAGACCCAAGTTTACTGGAGAGTTTTGGCACAATACTCCAGAAAGAGGCTTTCAAACCCCCAGAGGGTACAGACAAAGGGGCAACATGGGGAAAGCAGGGCAAAGTGGGGAGCAGGTCAGCAACAGAGCAGGAACAGGGGTTACAAGGAAATATTTCATCACAGAAGGCCGAAAGCAATCCAGGCCGCGCCGGGGCCAAGGGTGGGGCGATCGGGAGGGACAACTGCAGGCGAAAGAATTAAGGTCTAACGACAGAGCATGACTCATACAAAGGGGCAGAGAGATGAGTGGGGTGGGAACAGGGGGGCAAGGACAGCGGAGGTTCTCTTTCTTGATTCAAGGGCGTTATCTGGCAGATCTGGTTCCTAGATCTGAGAGGAAAGGGAAGGGTTTGGGCAAGCTGACAGTCAATCCTCCACTGTAGTGGAGCAATCAATGTTGTTCAGGGGTCCTTCGGCCGGACGGAAGGAAGCGTGTGTGAGTCTTGCTTCATATAATGTATTTTTGACTTGCTGGTGGAATAGGAACCGGACTGACGCGACTGACGCGGACTGTTGCTGACCGGACTGACGCGATAGGAACCGGACTGACGCGGTGCCTGTACGGACGCGACTGATGCTCGGACTGATGTTGAGCGCTCGCGCCGGACGGTTAGCGCAAACAAGCGCTAATTCTTTTGCGCCATCGCCTGCAGCTCTGCTGCGCGCGCGACTGCATCTTCGAAAATTCAAACCCATCCCCTTCGTCGCGCTGAGCCCTCCCCCTCACCGGGGAGCATCGTTCACTCTATAGCCAGATACGGGAACCAAGCGCGCGGAGGCCCCCTTATCGCGAAGAAAGGTTCCTTCTAAACTCGCTCCGGAACGCTGTCCGACGGCCTTCATCGACGAACAAGGCCAGAATCCATCTTCAGGAAGCTTCAATTTTCTCAAGACTTCGAATTCATTCGTCGCATCGTTATCCCAAGCGCGGCCCTGGAAGCGATGAGAAGCGTCAGTACACACACAAAATTGAATCCTGTGAGATCGAACTCAACGCCCCCATTGCTCTCCAAGCTCGCTCTAACCTATCGTCTTGCCTTCCAATGGAATGACCCCCCTATCACACCGCGCCCGCGATACGCCTCGTCACCTCGCCTCCCCTCCCAACCCCCAAGCCTCGATCAACCCGCACCATCCTTCTTCCCCCTAGTTGCACACCCGCTCTGCTTTCGCTAATACCCCCCTCCTCTGCCCCCCCCCCACTTCAATCTCCCCCTCAATCCTACACACTACATCCGCAGCTCGCAACCCAACTATCAACTGAATTTTCTTTCTCCCCCAACTTCCCCCCAGACTAATCCCTCCCCTCCTCATATCACACCCACTTCACATCCAACTGATCCCCCCCACCTTCTCCACCGTCGATCCCCATAGCGGCCCCAATCCGATCCTAACCCTCTCCCTCTACGACCTCAGCCTAACCCCACCCTGTCTTCCTCCCTCAACACATGGTTCTCTGCAAATAGTCGCGATTTCATTCATCTCAATTTCTCTCCTTTCCCACTGTGTCCTATTACGTTTACATTTCAACCCAACCATCCCCTCCATTTATGTTTTCAAAGTTTCCTCCTTCCTCAAATCTGAGTGGTCATTGCTGTCCCGGTAACTACCAGTTTCTCAAGTGGAGAGGGTAAACGAAACCCCGGTGTCTCTGGTCCGTAACATAACGTACTATCCTTCCTTTTCAGAAAACCGATCCCCAAGTGGGGAGGGTAAATGCTGCCCAAATTCTTCAAACACTCGCGCAGCAATTGTTACGCTATCCCCCCCCTCCATTCCGACGTGGTTGTTCTCCCACACAGGAATTGACTACAAAAGTATCATCCCACCCTTCTCTTTCTCATGCGTATTACCCCCCGTCCCTGCTTGGTATCACATCTTAAGCGCGGCGAGTAACCCGATCCCCCAAGGGGGGAAGGCAAACGCTGTTCAACTTTTYTCCTCCTTACCAAGTAGCCCTCCTTGCKGCATACATTCCTCCCATCGCTCTCCCTTGTTGATTCTCAAGGGAAGAAGGTAATCGCCACCCCATATTTCATTGATTCTGGTTCGTACCTCAACTTTTCAATCCTTTTGTTGTAAAATCCGTTCCCCAAGTGGGGAGGGTAAATGCTGCCTAAAATATTCAAGAAGTCACGCAGAAATAGTTAAATCCTTCCAATCTAATCACTCCCACCCCCCTCACTCCCACTCCTCTCTCTCCTCGATCTCATCCCGAACGCCAACAGATCTCACCCCATCCCTTCTCTTCCCCATCCAGATCCCAACCTGATCTTACCTCGAGTATATCCCAACCCCATCCCATTCTCAGTCCGACCCGATCCAATCCTGATCACACCCCGATCCCAACCCATCTTCGAATCACACCCACCTCACCCCCACTCCTCTCTCTCCCCGTTCTTATCCCGAACGCAAACTGAACTCACCCCATCCTTTCTCTACCCCATCCCGATCCCAACTCGATCTTATCTCCAATATATCCCAACCCCACTCAGACCTCAATTCGATCCGATCCAACCCCGATCAAACCCCGATCCCAACCCGAACCCACCGACCCGGATCGGCTCTCAATATCAGACTCCAACCAGCTCCCACCCCTCCTACCCCCACATCCAATCACGAGACTCACCCTATACTGATCACCCATATCCGATTTCCACCCCGCTGCTTACCCGATACCGATCCCCCGATACCGATCTTCTACTGACGGCAGATTCCCACCCCGATACTTGCCTGATACTGAATACATGATCCCGACTCAATCTTAAACACAACCTCTCGAAAGTGATTGTACTGGCCGGCGGACGATCTTGTAGGGCCCTCAGACTTCGACACGGCTTCAAAAGGCGATCCCCAAGGGGAAAGGCCAAGTGCTACTAAAATTCCCTCAGATTTACTAAACTACTAACTCCCAAGGAGCGTCCAATCCTCTTAACTCAGTCCCAAGGAGACACATTCCAAAGATGGGGATATCGTACTCTATGGCAGCCCAAAAGGCAATGAGCGAGAGAGAAAAGCAGGACTTTGCTCTAAGGCAGGGAGGAACGGCAATGAGCAAATCAGGGCAGACGACATCTCAGTCAGACACGGTGTCAAGAGCAGGTGAAGCCAAGTCGCGATCCTTGGGGCAAAAAGCGATGGATTTCCTGCTGGAGAAAACGCAAATCAAAGCAGAGATTAAGATTACGAAGGAGGTAATCAAGGGAGAAGGGGGGAAGGAGGAGGAAGTGAAAGTTTGGGAATACCCAGAAGAGGACATTCAGTCGTTGAATGATCTATACGAGAAGCACGCGGTCCTTTTTAACTTCTCGGGGAGAAGCAAAGAGCTTTCATTGAACGAGAAGAGAAGGTGGGTGATGGATAGATTGATAGCCATGGAGGAAGTACCAGGAAAGGAACCAGAGGTTTCGTACCACAGGAGGGGAAGGTTCGCAGTGATGATTGTCTGTGTGGATCCTACCTATGCCCAGTACCTGCTGTCGATCGGTTCATTGAAATGCAAGGGAGCTGTAGTCACAATCCAACCTTGGAAGTCGCCAAGACCACCTCAGGCTGAGGCATCAAGGCACAGGCAATCAATGCTGAGGAATCATTTCTGGGTACAGTTCGACAACCTATCGGAAGGAATGCATAGCTTTGTTCAAAGGAGACTGGAGGAGGAATTCCCAAGCAACCCGATCATAGAATGGYTGCCGGCCAATCCGGATTTCCTGGCACCTAACCATGATGCAAGGGTGGCATGTTTGGAGGTCAAGTCAGGGGCACCGCCAAAGCTCCCAGACCAATGGAWCTTCAAGAAAAGTGGTMAGAGAATCACAGTCTTCRTCTCCACCAAGACTAACCCATTTTGCTTCAAATGCAGGGGTAGAGGTCACCTAGGTACCTCTTGTCCACAAGGGGGACCAGGAGGAGCAGGGGGAAAACGGGTGACATTGAGGCAATCTATGCTGCAGGAGTGCGAGAGCAARCCARGTGTYTGGTATATTAATTCATCTCAATACAGGGGATGGATTTTTGACGACAACTTGGAAAATCCAAGATGGGTGTGGGTCTTGAAAAGGGAACCAACGGTCAAACCAGACATTTATCCGCCCTATGATAGTAGGTGGAGACACACCGGAGCCAAGAGAATGGAGGACAAGGAAACGGGGTACATCATCAAACCCATTTTGGACGACGAGGTCATGCAGGATGTCGAGCAAAGACTGAAGCTGATGGGGGAATTGCACGAGGTTGGGAAAAATGCGGAATTGGCTTTTTAAGAAAATGCAGAAGCCAGAGCACATCAGTAGGGGCAAGTAAGAGGCAATGAGGAGGAGTCAAAGGATATGGATGAGGGTAGAGGAGACAACATGGAGTGTGAGGAAGGAGGGAGGAGTGGAGCAGAAGGAGGGAGGAGTGGAGCAGAAGGAGGAAGCACCTCTACAAAGAGAAAGGGAGAGTCAAGTGGAGAGGATGTGTCTAGTACTCAAGAAGAGGGGACGCAACAGGGGAAAAGGAGACAAAAGACCCAATCGGGGGAAGGTGCTACTACAGGAGAGAAAGAGAAGGAGGGCGGAACCAGCAAGGAATCTTCAGGGAGTTCGGGGAAGGAGAGTGAGACGGACACAGGCTCACAAGGAGCGGTATCAAAGGGAAGTAGGGCAAGGGATGAAGAGACAGGCAAGACAGGAGAGAGAGATGCAGTCATGATGGGGTCATCACAGCATGAAGAAGGCGGAAGCGGATCCCAGGGGTCCCAGGGACAGGAAACACTGGAAGATGAAGATAGAGTAAGAGAAAGGGCGAGAAGGAGAGGCATGCTCAATGTCGAAAACATGACAGTGGAACAGATCTTGCAGGCGGAGGAGGACCAGAGGGAGAGCTCAGGAGACACAGAGAGCGAAGCCTCATCAGAGGAAGAGGAAGAAGAGGAGGAGGAACAACAGGACGAGTTGGATGAGAAAGACTGGTCAAGAGAGCAGTGGATAAAGGAGGTAGAACAGTTGGAATGGGGGAGAACGATTGAGTGCGAAATTAGACTGGCCCACCATAAACACCTGAGGAACCTCCAACAAGTCACACAAGCAGGGGAGGACATCACTTCAGAAAACAAGTTTGAACTGCTAAGGAGGGAAGGAGAAATCAACGAGTTTTACGCTTCTCAGTACGCAAGTAAGACCTGCACAGTGAAGAATGAGATCCACGAACAGCAGGAGGAATATGGGAGGACATTCCAATGGCCAAAGACCTACCACAGTAAGGAAAGGAAGAGGGATGGTAAGAAACGGAAAGTACAAACGGTGGAGGAGCAAAGCAGTGCAGTTGGTTCGGGGAATGACTCAATGGAGGATACAACAATGGATGACGATCGGGTGAAGGGAGAGAGTGAAGAGGAAGAGGTGCAGGATTTGAGGAGGCAAGCAACGATTTTGGTGGCACAGGTAATCCTACTCAAGGATGAAAACAGGGAATTGGAAGAGGACACAGTGAACGTATAGAAAATAGCAAAGGGTCAGTGGAAGGAGATAGAAGCCGCAGCTCGTCTGGAAGTCAAGAATGGGACAAGGAGGAGAGTGGTCTTGCCCTGTCGCTGGAATGCAAAGCACTCAGACTGGGAGGTGGCAATTAACCAGTCCTTGCAGCTGTTAACAGCCCCGATTGAAGAGTGCTCAGGCTCGAATCTGTAGAGATTAATAGGGGCGGAGGTGCCAGCTCGAGCTTTTATATTGAGAGAGGGAGGAGAGGAGCCGATGACGATAGGGGAAGAAGGAGAGGATGAGACGATAGCTGACTTCGGACCACTGCTATTCCAAATGGGGGAGGAGTCCGAACTAAGGGAGGGATTGATCTGGATGCCTTGGCAGGTGGTGGAAACCATTCCCTATGGGCTACTGGGAGGAGAAGTAGGGGCGGAATGGGTGGCTAGATGCGCAGCGATGACAGTGAAGATGGAGGCATTGGGTTGGAAGCCGAACTTCTTCGAGAGGAGGGTAAGTGAGGTAGCAATGACCATAGAACTCACTGCATAAGATACTTGAACAAGGAAAGATGGAAGGAAAGGCCACATTCTAACAAGGGGACCTAATGGAGGGAGGAGTGGAAGAGAGACCAAGAAAGCAGAGAAGAAGGATTAAAGGGGGAACAGGTTCACCGGAGATCAAAATAACTTCATGGAATGAACGGGATGGTGGGGATTTTGGAGAATGGAGACAAGTGGCATAATGTAGTGAATTACTCAGGATGACAAGTGGCATAATGTAGTGAATTACTCAGGATGGTACACTTTGTCTCCACCGGATTTCTTGTGCTTGCAGGAAACACATCTTCAGGAATCGGAAAAACACCAGAAAACGAAGCACAAGATTGAGAGGAAACTGCAAGGAGTTAAGGCAGCATGGTGGGCCCCGGCGACAAGTAACCATTCCACGGGGGTGGTTATACTACAAAGCAAAAGGGCTACGGCGGCAGACAGGATTCGCATCACAGAAGCAAGGGTGGACGAGGAGGAGGGTAGATGGGTCAAGGTCGACTTTGAGCTGCATGAGGAACGCTACACGCTACTCTCGGTTTACTGTCCGAATAACTCTCAACAAAGAGAGGATTTGGTCGAAAGGCTTAAGGAGATCCTAGATGGGAACAGGCATCTGATTCTAGTAGGAGACTGGAACGCCACCTTAGATCCCAACTTGGACAGATTATCGGGAGGGATTAGATCAGAGGAGGAAGGGTGGACAGAAGAATCGCTACCGATTCATAGGCTAACGACGAATTTAGAACTGATAGATCCCTATAGGTTGTATTACCCGGACGAAAGACAATTCACCTATCGCAAGAGGAACCGCAGCCAACATGTGTCGGCCTCCCGGATAGACTATTTCTTGACGTCGTCAGGAGTAATAGGCATGTTGCAATCAGTGAGTATAGGTATCCTGCCGTACGGTCTGGGTCTGGATCACAAACCTATCCATCTGAGTTTGTCACCAGACAAACAAGGCATCAGAGGTAGGGGGTTCTACAAAATCAACAACTCCCTCCTGAAAACTCAGGAAATGAGACAGGCGGTTTTGCAAGTGTGTCAGGAACACAACCCAGACACGCAGACATTCCCAGAACTGTTATTGACACTTTCTAAGGCTTTAGCTTGGCCAGGAGACGAATTATACGAAAGAGTACTGGAGACGGCAAGAGGAGAGATGGTAGACTGGCAACGGTGGAGAATGAAAGGCCTACAAATGAGGGCTAGAGTCAGGGAATGGGAGGAGGGGAAGAGAATGACCAAATTCTTCTTCCAAAAAATAAAGTCCAAAGGAAGGAATAACCTCATAGAGCAATTAGAAGGGGAAGGGGGGCTTACCTCAGATAAGGAAGGGATGTTAAGGGTGGCTTTCGATTTCTATAGTAGACTATACACATCTACGGAAGACCAGCTCCCGAGGCTAAGGGTGGAGGAAGCGAGATCGAAGTTCCTGAACTACCTACAGAACACAATATCACGACAGCACGCGGCCATGCTGGATGAACCCTTAACACAGGAGGAGTTATGGGATGCACTAAAAACGATGGCCCCGAACAAAACCCCAGGGAAGGATGGTCTGACCAGAGAATTCTGGCTAGAATTCTGGCCAATTTTGGGCGAAGAATACCTGGCCTTTCTAGAGCAGCTTGGCAGGCGGAGGGCATAGGTAGTGAGCCCGCAACTGGAATAGTCACGCTGCTTTACAAGAAGGGGAGCCCAGTGGACATACGGAATTACAGGCTAATAACTTTGTTGACCCTCACACACAAGATAGTAGCCAAGGCGCTAGCTAACCTCTTATCAAAGATCACGGCAGGCTGCTTCCATTTGGATCAAACAGGATTCATTCCGGGAAGGTTTATACTAGACAATGTCATGTGCCTAACAGAATCTGTCCGGTATATAAGAGACAAGAGAATCAATGCTGCCATTCTTTTTTTCGATTTCGAAAAGGCATATGACCAGGTCAGTTGGCCCTTCTTGCAGCTGTGCATGGAAAGAATGGGGGTAGGGCCAAACTTTAGGAAATGGATACGGGTCTTATACAACGATGCGCGGGGACAAGTGCAGGTTAATGGTCACTTATCTTCGACCTACCCGATGTCAAGGTCAGTTAGGCAGGGGGATCCCTTAGCAGCTCCTATCTTTCTCTTCATAATGGAGGCAATAGCCTCTTTTCTAAGAAAAGACCCGTCAATAGAGAGATTAATAGCACCGCCAGACCAGCGAGGACACACGGTTGAACTCCCCACGACGATTTTGTTCGCGGACGACTTGACGGTTTTGATCAAAGCAACAGACTCTTCTTTTCAAGCGCTAACAAGGGCAATGGAAGCTTTCCAGCTGGCTTCATAGATGAAAGTCAATTGGCACAAAACAGTGGGGTGGTGGCTAGCAGAACTGGATCAAGAAAATCAGATTCCGGTCACAAGCCCCGAGGGGCTTCAATGGATGACGCCACAACATCCGTTCCGGTATCTAGGGATCAAAATAACAGAAGAGGGGGCACACCAATCAATGGCGCCAAACATTATGGCCAAGGTGTTAGCAAAGTTTAGTGCTTGGTCGGCAGTATACACCTCAATATATGGAAGAGCACTGATTTTGAATGCATCAATTTTCTCCATGATGTGGTATGCAGGGTCTATCTGGACCCCGCCCAAGGCCACGGCGGCCCAGCTTAGGAGAAAGGCTGCAGCTTTCTTGTGGACGGCGAAGCACAACACGAAACATTTCATAGCCAAGGTAGCATGGAAAACGGTAACTAGACCCAAGGGGCAAGGGGGCATGGGTATTCTTGACCCAAGTCAGCAGTTGAAAGCGCTTCAAACAAAATGGGTGGTCAAGCTAATCTCACAGCCTAGGCTGTCATGGACGTCACTAGTATTAGAAACGATTAGACAGATAGCCAGGTATAAAACACCGAGCAACATGACCGGGCTGTTCTGGATTATGTGTAGCAACTGGGCTAAAATGGGCCACAGGGAGGAGAATAGGGAAATACAAGGAGGGAGAGTGAGAAATCCGGCTTATTGGCTACAACTAATACAACTGTGGAAGGAGGTCTTCCCAGCGAGGGTAAGAGAGCCTACTACAAGAGAGGAGGTATTAAGACAACCGTTATTCTGTAAGGCAAACATTTAGGACAATGGCGGAAAGCCTCTAACATTAACAAGCAAGGATTCGAGATGGGGCAGATGGTTGGAGCACGGGGTATGGCAGATCAAACACATTTGGGATGAGGAGAACAACAAATGGAAAACAACAGAGGAGCTGAGAAGGACATTGAAGGGGTGTCATAAGCTTCAGGACAACCTGAGTGTAGTCACAGGCTCCATACATCCAACCTGGGTGCAGTTGTTGAGGGGGGGAAAACAATGGCGGGAGGGAGATTGGGCCACATGGGAAGACGATGCAGAACCTAGAGAGGTGTTCAGGGTGTGGGATACGGTCAAAGACAGGAACGAATGGCTAGTAGCAGACAAATGAAACATAATACAGCCGCGCAATACCACATCCCAATTGGATAGGAGATCAAAAGCGCCGCTGTATATTCTCAAACAAGGGTTGCGGAAAGTAAGAGTGATAGAGATGGAGGAGTTTACAGTGTACAATTCAGCGGTACCAATTGAGGAGCTAGAGGTGGATCCTGGTGAATGGGCCTGGAACATTAGGGGGGGACAATCAAGAGTAGCAAGGAGAATCAATATCCTCCACTACACCACAAGAATAGGTTACAGGTTGAGGAACAGATCCCTGTCTATGGGTCCTACTCTGCTCAAGCGCTGGGAGAAAAGGGTGGGGGTCCCCAAAAGCCAAATGGCAGACATACCATGGGCAAATATTCTATCAATAAGACTGGGACAAGTGAGGAGTATGCAATGGCTAATAGAGCATGTGGCGCTGCCAGTGAACGTTTGGCTCAACGAAAGAAGAAGTCACAACCAGAGGAGCGATGAAGCTGAGTTGTGCAGACTGTGTCAAGAAGGACTTCCGGAAACATTGGTGCACTGTCTACTGGAGTGCAAGGAGGCGGAGGGGATGTGGGAACAAGTCGGGGGAATTTGGAAACAGGTGGCGAACATTGCTTTTCCGGAGTCAAGAATTGCTAGGCTATTGGGGGCGGAGGTACCCAAACGGATGCAACCCTATCAGAGACATATCTTTCAGCTACTGAGGCAATATGGGTTGTGGATCATTTGGAAGAGGAGATGTCAGGCCACTATGGAAGGAACGCTAATGCATAGAGAGGAAGCCAGGGAGTTGATCCTCAAGGCAGTAGAAACACATCTCAATGCGCAGTGGAAAAGGGTGAGACAGCAGGCACAGCAACAACCAGGGCAAGAGGAGGAGATAATTAAAAGATTCAAACAGGTCTGGGGGCAGTAGCAGAGGTCAGAGGTACACAATTACGCTTTAAATGGAGAGAAGAGGGTGGACAAAATCAGGGGTCAGGAGAGGGGTAGGATAAAGGGAAGGGAAGGAAAATCTCGATAAGCCAGTAAAAAAAGGAAGGTGGCACCCAAGATCATCTGAAAGGAAGGAGGCTGGGGGACTGTAGAGGGCCAGCCCAACTCAAGAGAGAAGGTACSGGYGCAGTCAAGATATATGCTACAGGCTGAATTCCGGGTAGAAGACAGAGATGAAGGCAGACGAGGCCCAAGGTTGAGGATAAGCAAGAGAAAGTCAGGAAGAAGCTGAAATGGGCAGGGGTTGGAGAACGGCAAAACAGCAGAGTTACGGAATGTTCGAGTATGCTGGATAGAATGGCACAACTCAGAAACAGGAGGGAGAGCCCAGGACACATCTGAAGCAGATAGGAGATTGAGCTGAAGTGATAAAATTACAGCTCAGGCCACTCGAGCGGCCAAAGACAAGGCAAACCGTTAGCCTCAGAAAAAAACATTTCAAGGCGAGGGTTTAGGGTTTAGGATTTTGAAGGTGCTTTGATAATGAGAGGAGGAATAGGGGGAGACGGGACACATGGGTAAGGTTGAAGTCTCGAAGCTCAAGGATTATCCAGATCTTGAAGGTAAGCTCTTTCTTGTGGGCATGGTTTTATCTGGCAGATCTAGGGGACAGATCTGAGAGGAATAGAGCGAAACATGGCAAGCTGGCAGTCAATCCTCCAGAAGGCTGGAGTAATCAATGCTGCTCAGGGGTCCTCCGGCCAGACGGGAGGAAGCGTGTGGGTTCTATGATGTAACTTTTATTCTGACTTGCCGGTGGAATAGGAACCGGACTGCTGCTCCCCAGAATGGAAAGGAGCTGGGACCATAAGGCCCTGTTTTCTTGTAAAAAAAAA